AATTAAAAAAAAAAAAAAAAAATAGAAACAACAAAAAAAAGAAAGTAACTGAAGACCCCAAAGAGCTTTTGTTGATGTGGGTTATATCTACTGTTATTCACTGTACTAGAAATTACAACTGAGAAAATATTAAGTATTTATATATCAATTCATTTAAAGATAATGGACTTATATAATAAATAATAAGTGAACATAATAAATAAATAAACAAAATAAATAAATAAAACATTGAAAAAGAAAAATGTCCCTGGATGCAGGCTGATGACAGATCCTTTACTAAAGGATAGATAAGACAAAACAAGGCAGCATGGGTGAATGACTCTGATGTTGGATTTGAATGAAGAATAAAATAAGATAAAAATCAAATGAAATAAGAAATTCAGCAATGGTTGGCAAATGTTTTCTACAAAGGGCCAGAAAGTAAATGTTGGAGGCGTTGTGGGACATATGGTCTCCATTGCCACACTCAACTCTGCCCTTATGGAGTGAAAGCAGCACAGACAATGCACAAACAAATGAGTGTGGCCATGTTCCAGTAAAACTTTATTTACAGAAGCAGGCTGTGGGCTAGATTTGGCCTGTAGATTAGATTTGGCCTATGAGCCAGTGTTTGACATGTATGTAGAGGAAATAGGAAATAAAAGAACTGTGCAGCCTTGGGATGATCAACTATGGGAAATATGTGTCCTAACCTAGCTTGTAATAGGAATCAAACAAGAGGGGCACGTGGGTGGCTCCGTTGGTTGAGCGTCTGACTCTTGATTTTGGCTCAGGTCATGATTCCAGGGTCGTGGGACCAAGCCCTGTGTCCGGCTCCACACGGAGCGTGGAGCCTGCTTAAGATTCTCTCTTTCTCTCCCTCTGCCTCTCCCCTGCTCATTGCTCGCTTGCTCTCTCTCTCTCTCTCTCTCTCTCTCAAATAATGAATTAATTAAAAGGAGTCAAGCAAGAGTTTGAGTTACTCTCTGGGGCAAGAATGCAGAGTACAGATACTCCATACTCCTATCTTGAACAGTTGTGTGTACTTTGGAACTTGCCCACAGGGTAGAGGTGGGATCCTGAGATAAGAAGCAAGACATCCTGCCAGGGCTTGTGCCTGAGGAGATGGCCGCCTGCACCAGTGGTGTCCTAGGAGATCACCCATGCAGGCGGGGATCCAAGAGCACAGGACAGGCACACTTTAGAGGATGGGCTGAAGGACCAGCCAGTACAGTGTAAATAATGTTTTTAGAGTCAGATGGTTCTCAAAGTGTGAGCCCTGGGCAAGTTGCATCGGCATCACCTAGGAATGTCTTAGAAATGCAAATTATCAAGCCCTACCCCAGGCCTGTTGATGAAAAGTCTGGGAGTAGGGTCCCACAGTCTGTGATTTAGCAAGCCCTCCAGGTGCTTCTGCAGCAAGCTCAAGTTTGAGAACCACTGAGGCCACTGATCATAACCTCTGTGTTCCTCCTTTTGAAAGATCCAGCGGATTCTCCAAAGCCTACGCCCAAGTCTTCTCTGACTGCCAATCTCCTTCAGAAAGCCAAGCGCCAGAACAACACCTTCCCACTCTTTGCCGAAGGACTCACACGGAACCGAACTGCCCAGGAAAAAGTGTTGGCCTTGGAGCAGCAGGTTCTGATGCTCACCAAGGAGTTAAAGTCTCAGAAGGTGAGCTCTGTCCCCAGAGAGGCCCCAGGCTCCAGTGGACCCCTCTGGGCCTGGAGCCTTTGAACTAGACCCGGCACATCAGCCCAGCCAGGCATATGCCCGTCTGTGGTCCTTACCAGCCAAACTGCTAGTGGTTGAAAATGCTGTGCTGTTAATTACTAAGGGACATGTGGACACTCAGACTAGGTGACGGAAGACCCTCAAGGGCAGGTCTCTGGAACTTACTTTGTAATTGCTCTTGGACTCCTCCTGAAGGACTGTGCATGGCCCATCCCCACACTGAAGGGGGATAGCATTCGGAGGAGGGGGGTCTGGATGCAAGGTCCTGGGAGGGGCTGCTGAAGGAACTGGCAGCTGGTAACGGTGCAGCTCCCTGAATGACTGTCAGAGGACAGAGAGAGAGCAGGCAGGTCTGCGTGGCTCTAGGGCTCAAGCAGGCCCGAAAGAGGACAGTGATGAGGAAGACTTAGGCTTAGTAGAGAAATTAATTATAGCAGTTAAGAAAGGAAAGAGTCACATGGTCATTGTAGAACACAGATCGCACACATACACAGACATTCAAATCATTCCCAAATCCTACAACCCAGAGAGTAAGTCGTGTTCACATTCTGGGGTGACTCTGTGAAGTAGTGAGAGTCCCAGGGCAGGGGGTGAGAGGGACTGCAACACTGGGCTCTTTTTGGCACAATAAAAGTGGTTAAGTTAGTGCAGTCGTTACTGAAAACCTCAAGGGTGGTGCCTGGTGATGCCTCACTGGGCCCCACTGAGAACCCACACTTCTCTTCCTCCGAGAAGAAGGCCTAAGTTTTCATGTTTGTGCTTTGGCTGCCCTGAGTCTTTTTCTGCTTTATCTCCCGGCTCTTGCTTCTGGGGAAGAGGGGGGTACACTGTATTTACCTCTGAATAGTCTCCTTTCACATGTCTTCTCCTTTCTGCTGCTCTATGTTTGAAGAAGACAGCCTAGAAAAATGCTCTCCCTGCCTAATTTTGCCCCTCCTCTGCCCTTTCTTGCCCTAAGCTGATACCAAGGCAAGTAGCAGAGGCTTCACTCCTGGCAGGTCAGCGGATACATTTAATGAAGCAGGCCTTGACTGAAGTTCTCAAGGGAGGAAGCTCATCCGTTTACATGTTCTCGGTCCATTTGTTTTTGTGTCAAGGCCTTGTTGAGGACCTGTGGCGTGTACGCGGTATTCTAGGTGCTGGGGACAGTGAGAAGAGACGCAGGCCCCGCCCCTGCAGGGCTTACATTTCGTGGCAGAGACAGGCGGTAAGCCCGCGAGCACCCACATACATCATCATGGCGTGTGAAGTCCCCTCCGCTGCCACTTAGCAGCCCAGCTCTCTTCTCCTCCCATCGTCCCCCGTTCCCGTCGCGGGGCGGCCGGCGGTCCTGAGAGCTAAGAGAGCATGCAGCTGGGTGGGAGCAGCTGCCTGATCCCTGGACCAGTACAGCATAAGTTCCAGGCTGAACCTGGCCAGGAAAAGAAATCTGGATGTGACCTCTGCCTCTCCCTTCAGCACACCTTCCCCTTCTTTCTAGGAAATATGGGCAGCCTCCTGTGGCTTGGCCTTTGCTTTGAAGGCGTCAGGAATCATTGAATGAAGGAGAGAGGCCCGGGAGACCTAGGTTTCAGTGAGGTTTGCCCCCAACATCTGTGCTACCCTGGAGAATGTGGCATTCTTCAGTAAATGAAGTTAAGCTCTTGGAGATCAGTAAGGCCCACCCAGGCTGCTGACAGCTCCCCTGCCATCAGAGTGAAAATGGCAGGAGGAAGTTGTTCAAGCATTAAAGGACCTGGACTTTATTTCTTTTTTTTTTAGTATTTATTTATTTTTGAGAGGGAGAGACAGAGTGCGAGCAGGGCAGGGGCAGAGAGAGAGGGAGACACAGGATCCAAAGCAGGCTGCAGACTCTGAGCTGTCAGCACAGAGCCTAATGCGGGGCTCTAACTCACAAATTGCGAGATCATGACCTGAGACGAAGTTGGACGCTCAACCCACTGAGCCACCCAGCCACCCCCAAGAACCTGGACTTTCTTACTGTTCACTTTCCTGGCCTGGGACAGACAATCAGAAGGAGAGAGTCTTGCAGTTTCACTTTTGACTCATGGGATGAGTGGTTTCTGTGTTCTCCTGCCCATCTCCCCAACGTGGGAGACTGAGCACAGAAGGTATAGGCCGCAGTTCTGGCCGAAGAAGTTTCTTAACCTTGCATAGCCTCAGCTTCCTCCTCTGTACATGTACAGCTGGGCTTACTGGAGAGGCCTGTGTCCGGATTTGTAAAGCCCGGTGTCTGGCAGCCAGCAGCCGCCCAGCAGATGCAGGCTTTGTTGGTTTGGGCTGTTACTGCAGCATTCCCTGCCCTCCTTATTGATTCCTAATGGCCTTACAAGAAGTGACACTTTCCTCTGAGGGGCCCTGGGAAGACAGACAGGCACCCATGAGGACCTCCAAGAAGTGAGTGGCCTAGCAGTGATAGGCGAGGGTCAAGTCTTAACCCCACATCAGGCGGGGGGAGCCCCAGCTTTACCAACTCAGGTTTTTAACTCCAGCCCAGATACCAAAACCAAAGAGGGGAAGGAGAAAAGATCAATTCTTGGCCCAGAGGTAGGATAGAGGAGGCCTGCAAAACCTCGGGGCACCCAGCAGTGCCCCGGACACGCAGAAATGCCAATCAGAGGGCCACTGTCCATCTGAGACTCTCTGAGCCCAGTTCTTCAGCTGGGGAAGCAGCCCCTTGGATGTCCTGGGCTCACATCTGCAAGATGCTTTCCTGTGTCTCTTCTTGGGAGGTACTCTCTTTCTGCCTGAGGGTGCAGGAGGATGTGGGAACTGGAAGGGGGAAGTGGGTCTTGTCCTGGCTCAGCCACCAAGGTGGCCATTGCCAATAGCAATTGTGATTCTTTAAGAATTTGTATCTCGGGGCGCCTGGGTGGCGCAGTCGGTTAAGCGTCCGACTTCAACCAGGTCACGATCTCGCGGTCCGTGAGTTCGAGCCCCGCGTCGGGCTCTGGGCTGATGGCTCAGAGCCTGGAGCCTGTTTCTGATTCTGTGTCTCCCTCTCTCTCTGCCCCTCCCCCGTTCATGCTCTGTCTCTCTCTGTCCCAAAAATAAATAAACATTGAAAAAAAAAATAAAAAAAAAAAAAGAATTTGTATCTCAAATTCTCAAAGTCTGTTGGACGCCGTGGAGGACACAGAGGTATCCCTGCCCTTGGGTAACAAAGAGCAGATAAGAGCACGCATGACTGGTGTTAAGTGTGGCCACAGCTCTGTGCTGGGGCTTTGCATGCATTATCTCTAATACTACAGTTATTAGCCCCCTTTTCCCGAAGAGGAAACTGAGGTTCTGAGAGGTTCTGAATGCCCAGGGTCTCCCAGCAGCCAAGATAGATTTCACACTCTGGTCTGTCTGCTTCTAGAGATTTTTCCCTTTTTACCATGCCATGCTTAAGGATCTCAGAGAAGGTAGGTGACCGGCCTAAGGTCACACAGCTGAAGGAGCCAAGACTGAGACCCTGGCCTCCTTCCCCCGATCCAGGACTCATCCCAGCCCAACCACCTCCTCCATGTTCTCCAGGTATAGTCCAGCATGAGAACTCTTCAGAAAATATGAACACAGTCCTTGTATCTGGTGTCATATTAAACTATAGGGCCACTCCAGTACCTGTTGAGCTATTATCTGTCCCAGGCCCTTGTAGCTGGCCCCACAAGAGATTTGGACTCTGGGAGATAGCACCAGATGGCTGGTTGGCCGGGTGGCTCTCAGAGTTCACAAAACTGCACCCAGCCTGAAGGCTGTCTGCTCTGGCAGAGGGAAGCCCATTGTTTGTAGTGATGTTGGCCATCTGTCGACTGCCGGGAATGATGAACCCCTCCCAGGCCCCATCTGGGGTCAACTTAGCTCCCTCAGGGTAATTTGTTTAGAAAACTTGTTGGGGGCAAAGTGCAACCATGTACTTCCCTAGAACCCCAGCCAGAAACCTCAATGTACACTCCCCTTACACAGAGTACAGAGTTCAAAGATTTCAGCGTAGAGGGAGGGTCGAGAGGGACCCTGGCTGTAGCTTCCGCTTGGGGAGGGACACTTGCCACCCTTTTTCTCTCATCCTTTAAGAGGCTCTCCGAGGTGTAGGGATCATGATCTCCACTTTACATATGACAAAGCCAAAGTTCATTTTTCTGAAACACCCTCATTAGATACCCCTCCATGGACCTGGAATAGAGCCAAGGCCTCTGTGACTCCAGTGCTCCTTCATCTGCACCCTGTTAGCGCCCAGCCTCTTAAGGGTCAGTGGCTGGAGTGCCAGACTCTCAGTCCAGTGGTCTTTCCCCAGCAATGTTGGGCCCATCCACCTTGATTTTAGCGAGTGATGAAAGTATCAGCTCATTATTTAATAAGGTAAAGGATTACTTTTTTAAAAGATGATTTGTTGGATCTTAAAAATTTAAACAATCAACTCTCCTGCAATTAAAAAAAATTTTTTTTAATAGAATGACAACTTGCAGCCAGTTATCAAAGTCTGAAATGGACCAAACATTGATTTGATTAAGAAATATTAAAAGCAGGGCAGGGCACCAGGGTGGCTCAGTCAGTTGAGCCTCTGACTCTGGCTTAGGTCATGATCTCATGGTTAGTGAGTTTGAGCTCCGCATCGGGTTCTGTGCCGACGGCTTGGAGCCTGAAGCCTGCTTCGTATTCTGTGTCTCTGTCTCTCTCTGCCCCTTCCCTGCTCATGCTCTCTTTCTCTCTCTCTCTCAAAAGTAAATAAACATTAAAAAAAAAAAATAGGGCGCCTGGGTGGCTCAGTCAATTGAGCGTCCGACTTCGGCTCAGGTCATGATCTCACAGTCTGTGAGTTCGAGCCCCGCGTCGGGCTCTGCACTGACAGCTCAGAGCCTGGCGCCTGCTTCGGATTCTGTGTCTCACTCTCTCTTCCCCTCCCTGCTCTCTCTCTCTCTCTCTCTCAAATAAATAAACATTAATTTTTTTTTTTTTTTTTTTTTTTTTTTTTTTTTTTTTTTTTTAAGTAGCAGAGTGCCTGGGTGGCTCAGTCGGTTAAGCATCCGACTCTTGATTTCAGCTCAGGTCATAATCTCACGGTTGGTGAGTTTGAGCCCTACATTGGGCTCTGCACTGACAGTGCAGAGCCTGCCTGGGATTCTCTTTCTCTCCCTCTCTCTCTGCCCCTCCCCTCCACGCTCTCTATCTCTCTCTGAAAAAATAAACTATGTATGTATATTAAAAGTGCCATTTGATCAGCTCTTCTATTTCCAAGAATTGGTTCTAAAGCACTGCTTATAATTGTGGGAATTGGAAACAACCTGGATGTCCCTCCTTGCGGGTGGGATAAGGGAATTGTGTGTCCATACAAGGAGTACCCTTGCACTGTTGCAAGTGATGGTGTTGCTCCATACTGACAGCTTGGAGAGGTGCCGTAGCATATCATAAGGCCCAGAGAAGCTTCAGAAGAAGAGGTATCACAAGCTTCCGTTTTTGTTTTTAATATTTCTATGTAGTATGTATGTACATTTTTGTGACATAATGGCCCCAGGTTCGTCCATGAGGTAGCCTATAACAGGATTTCCTCACTTTTTCAGGCAGAGTTTATTCCATCATACGTATATGCAACATTTTGTTTACCCGCTCACCGTCAGTGGGCATATGGGTTATTCCTAATCTCTTGGGTGCTGGGGGAATAATGCTCCTACGAACATGGGCTATTTCTATTTTTAAGGAAATTGGAAGAAGTGTTTCAGTGCAAAATCTATTAACTACCCATCATGGAGAAGTGGAAGACCCTAGATTAGGAGTTGGGGGTCCTCACGGTGTGTTTTCCCACCTGTGGGGATCCACCAAGTCCCTTTAGTCCTCTTCTTTCTCCTTTCTTGGTCTTTAGTGCTCTCACATGACAGCAAGGCGACCTGACCAGGTGGTCTCCCCCAGGCCTGCCAGCCTCCAAGTTTTCTGATTCCAAGGTCCATTCACACTCCTCATCTTGTGCTTCCTGCTCCCACTCTGTCCCTTCCCTGGTTCCTTTCTCCCTGTCTCATTCTGTTGTGGGGATTCTGGGGTGGACGGAGGGCCTCCTGGGCTGGAAGTAGGAATGGGGAGGCACCTGGATATAATGAAATGGGCTTCAGAGTTGACTCTCCCAAAGTTGGCAGAAGGATACCTGCCTGATTCTGAGCCTCAGACAAGTCTGAACAGTGGTCTGCTGGTTATTTCACCCGGCAGTTCCCAGGGTAATCTCCACATCTCAGCCGAACCAGAAAATGGTTTCAGCTTCTCAGTTATCCTGGAACCACAGGAACGGTGAGCTCTCTCCGCAGAGCCTGAGAAGCTAATTCATTCCAAACATTCCGATTTGGTTTGCAACCACCTCCCCACCCACCTTCCAGCCACACCCAACGATGCCCACAGCCCCACACGGGCTCTTTCCTTCCTGTGGGCCTTTGCTTGAGCTGTTGACTCAGCAAGTGTGGAAAGCCCTTCCGACCCTCATCTCCTACTTGCTGCTTGGCCGTCTCTGGCCCTTCTTATTTTTCACGAATGAGTTCAAACTGTTCTGCCTTTCTGTAGAATATACTGGTCTTTCCCCACCTCCACCCCAGGCAAAAGTCCTTGCTGTCTGCTCTGTATCCCCACAAACACCCTTGCTTCCCTCTTGTAGTAAATCACTGCATTACAGTGTTTCACCTTCACTCCCACCAGCCTTGGTGGTTCTTGACCAATCCCCCTCTAAGCCCCAGCACCCACCCCAGGGCCTGGCACTGAGTAGGGCTTCATAAAGTTTGGATGGAGGGAGGGAAGGGAGAGAACCAGAAGAGAGACAGTCCACAGTTCTGAGGTTTCAGAAGATGCGTGCTAATTTGATCTCGCCATTAATTTCTCATATGAAGCCATGGTTTGGTGCAGTTCGCTTCCAAAATGGAATTGTTCTCAGCAGTAATCCTATCCAGCTGATTCATCTAGTTAAATACTTTGGCATGGATACAGGTAACTGGTCTCTGGAAACCATGTTTTTCCAGATGAGACTGGCATAGAGCATAGCAACGGCCCCAAACCCCTCCCCTGCCTACCAGGCTCTGAGGTTCACATGGGACTGGCCACTGGGCCTCCTGGCTTCGGATATTCTGATCCTGGTCTTAAATGAATCCATATCCTAGCTTTGGGGCAGCACAGGTCCTGGGGAGATTGGGGGCTTGAAGATGTGGGGAGCCAAGCAGACCTTGAGTTTCATTCTGAGTCCAGTGCCCCTTCACGGGATCAATAGAGGTCTTTGCTTCTGAGCTCTCTCAGGCTTTCTTGCACCAGCCCTCCAGGCATTGCTTGGTGGCCTAAGAGGCCGGGCACAGTGGACTGAATGAGGCTCTCTGTGTGGTTTAGTGTGAGGATTGCCCATGTGTTTCCTCCCCAGTGCTTTCCCAGCTCCATTGGTAGTGACTACTGTTTGCTGTATTCAGGATTCTGAGGCCTCAGTGAGGCTTAGCAGGAAGGAATAGGGAGATTAATTAGTAAGGTCTGCCTGGGAGCGAGAGAGAGAAGTGCTGGCCTGTCACTTTGCTGCCGCCCCTGCCTTCATTACTGACCAAGTGCAGACTTAGGATTTGGGATGAAACTGCAGCCTACTCTGCAGGACATCCGTTTTCTCACTTCTGAAATGGACTTGTATTAATTAGTCAGGGCACAGGCTCGGCTGCTGTAACAGAGAAGCCTCAGACCACTATGGCCTAAAACAGTTTGGAAGTTTATTTCTCTCCTGTCTTCTCACAGAAGAATCCAGAGAGGGAAGTGAGCAATCCTGAGCTGGTAGGGCAACTGCCGTCCTCAACATCCACCATCCGCTTATGAGCCCAAGGTGGCTGCTCTAGCTCTTGCCATTTCCCAGCCAGAAGAAAGGGCACCCAGACCAGGGGAGCACATGGGTAGTGGTTTCAAAGGCAGGACCCACAAGCCACCCACCTAATTTCTTAAATCGCGCTTAGGCGGAACAGATGCTAGGCTACACTTAGCCATAAGCCTGGCTACGAACATAGCCTTTAGCTGGGGAACCATGTGTCTGGGTAAAACTTTCTTGGACAGAAAAAGAGAAAATGAGGTGGCCGAGAGGATGATGCTAGCCACCGCCCGGGGCTGTTAGGAGAACCGGGGGTAGCCAGTGCCGAGTCTCTGGCACCTCATGGGCCTTCCCCGAGTTCACAGAGTGCTTCCCTTCCCCCACCCAGGAGCTGGTGAGGATCCTGCACAAGGCGCTAGAGGCTGCCCAGCAGGAGAAGAGGGCGTCCAGTGCGTACCTGGCGGCCGAGGACAAGGACCGGCTGGAGCTGGTGCGGCACCAAGTGCGGCAGATCGCAGAGCTGGGCAGGCGGCTGGAGGCCCTGGAGCGGGAGCGGGAGAGCCTGGCACAGACAGCAAGCCTGCAGGAACAGCAGGTGCGGGAGCTGCAGCAGCACGTGCAGCTGCTCATGGACAAGAACCAGGCCAGACAGCAGGTCATCTGCAAGCTCTCTGAGCAGGTCACCCAGACCTTCATGCGCCCGCCTCCCCAGCCCTCTGTGCCCTCAGGGACTGCCGACAGAGACGTCCTGAGCCAGCAGGAGAAGATGGAGCACCTGAAGGTAGGGGCCCCTCCCCCCAGGCCCTGGGCCCTCTGGGAGGGCACTGTTCGCAACCCTGAGGGTTTCCTAGATAGAGCAGGGATAGCCCTCAATACTGGAATATTCGTGTTTGAAATAGATCTTGGTGGAAATATTGCTGTTTCTTTCTTAACCAGAAGGCCCTGTGCAATTTGACCTCTTCCTGATATCCCAGGCTGGAAAGGGAAGGGATCTCGAGATTATCATTAGCGATGGAAGAGCACAAGATGAGGTCAGAACTCCTGAGTGCCAGGGCAGCTAAGTGCCACGGTGACGCCCTCAGAAGCCCCCAAGGTGCCTGGTGGCCTCCCCCGGCACACAGTAGGTGTGTGTAATGTGTGGCTGGCTGTGACTTGCTCATAACGATGGCAGTACTCGCTGCTCCTCTGTGAGACTGTCTGTTGTGTGGCGGCCACTATCCCAAGTGCCCTGCTTGCGTCACCTCACCTGATGCTCTATCAGCCCTGTGAGGCTGTCACTCTGCCCCCCACCGCGTGCACGAAGGCTGAGGCTGAGAAGGGGCCCCGTGCTGAGGAGGTGTGAACATGGAACTCTCTGACTAGTGTCTGTTCTGCTGCCTTCTGGTCTCTTTGGGCCTTTCAGCTATTGCCACCCTTCCTGCCTTCCTTACCCAGGCTTGTGGCTCCCACAGAGACCCACTGTGGCGCAGGGAGCAGGAACTTGATTTTAGGTGTGATGCCTGCCGTGGACTGCGGTGTCCTCTCCAGGACATGGTGACAGGAGCTGCCAGACCTCCCAGGGGCCTGAGGCTGGGGATCGGCGCTCATAGCCCCCACTGTCCTTAAAGGCAGCTGTATAACCGGGGCCAGTCCTGCCCCACACCCGCCACACACAGCCACACGTGTATAACTGTGGGGGCTCCTATGCCATGGGACCGAAGCACTGCTACTGGAAGAGGGAAAACAGAAGGAAAAAAGAAAAATCCAGAAGCTTTTGCAAGACCAGTGGGCAGTGGTACAGTGGTCCCTGCCCCAGCTCTGAAGTCAGGCAAACCTGTGTTTGGATCCAGGCTCTGCCTCTTACTAGCTATGTGACCTTGACCTTGGGTAGGTCCCCTCACCTCCCTAAAAAATGGCCTAACTGTTCTTACTCACATGGTTGATGGCAGGGTAAAGGAAGATAACATGAAACCCAGATTCCCTTCCAGTTTCCTTCAGCATGAACAAACCACATAACCAGTCTCTGAATCTTTTTCCTTTAAGACCAGAGATTCTTTTGAGTTCAGAATGAAAACAAAATCTTTTCAAATGCAGATGGACTGAAGTTGTTAGAATGCTCTCAGGGCTGGGAAATTGTTTCCATCAGATTGCTTCCCTACCCTCTTAGCTTTGTTGATTGTTTCCTTTGCAGTGTAGAAGCTTTTTATTTTGATGAGGTCCCAGTAGTTCATTTTTGCTTTTAATTCCCTTGCCTTTGGAATGTAATCAAATGAGAAATTGCCAGCTGAGGTGAAGGTTTTCTCCTCTAGGGTTTTGATGGTTTCCTGTCTCACATTCAGGTCCTTTATTCATTTTGTTTATTTTTGTGAATGGTGTAAGAAAGTGGTCTAGTTTCATTCTTCTGCATGTTGCTGTCCAGTTCTCCCAGCACCATTTGTTAAAGAGATTGTCTTTTTTCCATTGGATATTCTTTCCTGCTTTGTCAAAGATTAGTTGGCCATACTTTTGTGGGTCCAATTCTGGAGTCTCTATTCTATTCCATTGGCCTATATGTCTGTTTTTGTGCCAATACCATGCTGTCTTGATTACAGCTTTGTAGTAGAGGCTGAAGTCTGGGATTGTAAAGGCAACTGACGGAATGGGAAAAGATATTTGCAAATGATATCTCAGACAAAGGGCTAGTATCCAAAATCTATAAAGAACTCACCAAACCGAAAAACAAATAATCCAGTGAAGAAATAGGCAGAAAACATGAATAGACACTTCTCTAAGGAGCATCCAGATGGCCAACAGGCACATAGAAAGATCACTCCTCATCAAGAATACAAAATCAAACCACCTCAGATATCACCTCACACCAGTCAGAGTGGCCAAAATGAACAAATCAGGAGACTATAGATGCTGGCGAGGATGTGGAGAAATGGGAACCCTCACTGTTGGTGAGGAATGAAACTGGTGCAGCCTCTCTGGAAGACAGTGTGGAGGTTCCTCAAATTTAAAATAGATCTGCCTATGACCCTTAATAGCAAGGAATTTACCCAAGGGATACAGGAGTACTGATGCCTAGAACTTGACACTATCATTATAGCAACACTTTCAACCAAATTATTGAAGAGCCTAAATGTCCATCAACTGATAGTGAATAAAGAAATTGTGGTTTATATACAATAGAATACTACGATGGCAATGAAAGAATGAAATATGGCCCTTTAGCAAATGTGGATGGAACTGGAGAATGTTATGCTAAATTGAATAAAGATCAGGCAGAGACATACCATATGTTTTCACTCTTATGTGAGTCTGAGAAGCAGAGACACCATGGATGGGAGGGAAGAAAAAAAAAAAAAAAAAAAGTTAGAGAGGAGAGGCCAAAACCATAAGAGACTCTTAAAAACCGAGAACAAACTGAGGGTTGATGGGGGGTGGGAGAGAGGGGAGGATGGGTGATGGGCATTGAGGAGGGCACCTGTTGGGATGAGCACTGGGTGTTGTATGGAAACCAATTTGACAATAAATTCATATTAAAAAAAAAGATTGCTTCCCTACCCTCCTCCACCCTGCTAAGAGTCTTCTCTGTGCCCATCTTGCAGGGATCTACAGTTGAAGACCCTATAAAGCAGCTCCAGGGTCAGAGAAATAGATCCGTTGGGTGTCTCTAGACTGCCCCCGAGAGTTGACTGGAAGCGTGGACTCACCTAAGAGACTGAGAATGCCCCTGGATTTGCATGTTCAGGAATTTATCAGTGAGCCCAGATATGGGGAGATTCACAATCAACCAACTGTACCTTGTAGCTGATCCTCAGAGGCCCAGCATTTGTGCTAGAAAGAATTGCAAGTTCTAGAATTCCTCATTTGTTAGCCTTTAACGTGTCTGATCTAGAAAAAAATAGAACACTCATCAAAAATCCACTGTCTTTCAGTCTGGGGACAGAGCATGTTCACTTGCTTGCCATGTGACATGCAACTTTAACAAAGTGCCCCCTTGTTGAAGGTGTCAATTTGAGAACAGAATCATCAACCTCTTGAGTAGCAGAGCTGGGAGATGCAGAGATCTAGTCTGCCCCCTCATTTTCTGCCAGGGACGGCTGACCCCTGGACAGGGGAAAGGACCGGCCCACACAACCCAAGCAGCAGGTTTGGGCTAGACCCCAGGTCTCCCCACACCCGACCCACTGTCTTCCCCACTAGCACAAGGGCTAGTCCATGCAGCATTTCCCAGAGAAAATTCCCAGGCTCCTGATCCCTGTGAAGGCAAACAGGCAGACTCTCTTCTTCCTGTCCCCTTTCTCCAGTTGTGTTTTCCTCCTTTGCTTATTGGCGACTGTCGTGTGGCATTCTCTTCTCTGAGCTCTCTCTTTTTCCTCCCTACAGTTCTGAGCCAAGAAGAACACTCAAGGTAGGGCGACAAGCCGAATGGGAAGGTGCTGCCCAGAGGCCACCCCACTGCCGCTCCAAGGGTGCGCACTCCCACCCTCCCTGACTGGGCTGGAGGCAGGCTGCCCCACGCAACATGTCCAAAGCCTTGGAGAGGCCAGTGAGCATCTTCTGGGCCTGGACTGAGGAAAGAGGGACGGTGCCAGGAGGCAGAAAGGTGGTGGTGCACTTTCACCCAGCAGTAGTTTTCGATTCCTGCTGAACACACCTGGTGAACACACCTGGATTTGGATCCCGCCTCTCTTGTGTTCTAGCCCATGACGAGGAGGACTTACCCTCTCTGTACTGTTTCCTCGTCTGTAAAATGGGAACAATAGTACTTTAGTACCCATCCCACAGCATTGTGCGGATAAATTACACGCAGTGACGTGTGTATGGGAAACGGGTCTGGCCATAGTAGGGACTCGGGCAATGACTGGTAGCTCTATTCCTCCCGTGCCTGGAAGCTTGTTGTATTCTCCCAGAAGCTTGTTGTATTCTCCCAGGCATTTGGGAAGAAGGCACAAGAGCAGCGGTGGGAAGTGTCTCAGAACGCAGGAGGAAGGCAGTGGGTGAGAGCCTGGATAAGGAGGTGACGCCTGCTTTGTATTCACCACTTGGCCCACCATCCTCAGCCTTTGCAGCACTGACTCCCAGCAGTGCCTGAGGCAGCACTGTTACTCTGACTTCCAGATGAGGGGATGAGGCACTTGTGCTGGGGCTCAGCGGTGGAGGCAGGGTTTATATCCAGGCAGCACGGCCCCAGAGTCCACCCCCTGACCACCAGGCAACGCCGGCACTCGGCAACGCCTGCATCTTTGATGTGTTGTGATTAAACTTGAGCCGGAGAGGTCAGACAAGCCTATGCACGCTCAGCCAGACTACTGATCCCAACCCTTGAAGGATGGACTAGAGTTTTGGCGTCCGGGTGGATCGCAGCGGGGACAGAGCATAGGGAATGTCTAGGCAGTAAGTGCAGTGCTTGGACTTGGCTTTCGAATCCGAATCCGACAGCCCTGGGCTCAGTCACACCCTGTCTAGTACAGCTGTGTGACCTCAGGCAACGGGCTTGTCCTTTTCAGAGCCTCTGAGACTTTCAGGACCACTGGAGGGATTGAATGGGATGGTGTGCTCAGTGCGGGGTGGAGGCAGGGGGTGATGATGGTGCAGGGAGCCCACACAGCCTCTGTGTTCATAAGTCTACCAAATCTCCGGACACCAAAACGGAAGAATATCGCAGGCAGCGAGAGCGGCCCTGGAGAATTCTGATGTTCATAGGAGGTTGGTCCTCATGCTGCAAACATGCAGATTCGCACCAAGCTCACTGCCCCTCCACATAAGGATAAGGAAATGGGGGTCATGGAGAGGAAGCAGGTGGACACTTGTGCAAAACAGCAGCTGGTACCCCCTGAGAAAAGGGAGCCCAGAGTTTGCTGTAGGACAGACACAGTTGGAGTGTAGGAGGAAGTACAGGCTGGGGAGTTGGAACTACCTGGGTCCAGGCCAGGCAGAGAGAACAGAAGCAAACTCAGCCTGAGTACACACAGCCTTGCAGCCCTGGACACAGTTGGGGGGGGAGGGGGGCGGGGAGGGTGCGAAAGCAGGCGTGTCTGGGGTTAGAGACCCCACGAAGAGCCAGAGAGCCCCAGCTGAGTGGTGACAAGCCAAGGGATGCAGTCAGCCTGGGACTTTGATTTCCAGCTAAGGAGCCCTGGGAGTGTGTGGCCCTCCCGCTGTGTCAACCATCTAGGGAGAAGGCAGTAGAGCCTGGGTATGAATTGGAGCTTCTGGGCTGGGAAGGATCTTGGCCAGAATGCAGGCCCACCCAGGGAGGGTCAGGATGGCCTGTGAGCTGTGCACAAGTGACACACCCCTGCTAATGAGGTGCCACGGGCATCACAGGCGTGATGCTCTTAATTTCCAGATAAATCAGGGCCTATCCAAAGTCATGCCCGCAATAGTGTCTCTCACATTCACCTACAGCCCAGCACATTGCTAGAGTGGGAGCAAAAGGGGTTGAGTTTCAGCTAGTGAATGTCCTGGAATTGGTAGGTATAGCTGTGAGCGTGTGCTGGCCGTTGCTTCTGTAATGTCCATCCCAGCAGAATGAAGGTTGAGAGCCAGTGCTGTGTCTGCTCCTTTCTGAGGCTCAGGCTCCTGCTTGAACCTCCCCAGCACTTGGCCAGCTTCTCCTCGAATGCCGCAGCAGCATGATCATACTCTGTCACTGGACAGCTTGCAAAAGGAAAACTCTAGGCTCAGAGATGTGCATCACAGCATTATTCATAATCAAAAACAAACCAAAAACACTCAGGGCTCAAATAAAAAATAACAGGGATTATAACTATGTTATAATAAATTCACCCAACAGAATAGTCATCAGACATTAAGAATGATCGTTGGGAAGTTTATGTAGCAACATAGAAAAGTACAGTGGACCCTTGAACAACACGGGTTTGAACTGCATGGGTCCACTTACATGCAGAGTTTTTCTGATAAATACAGTATAGTAATGTAAATGTATTTTCTCTAGCTTACTTTATTGTAAGAATACGGTATATAATATACATGGCATATGAAATAGGTGCTCTTTATGTTATCAGTAAGACTTCAGTCAACAGCAAGTTATTAGCAGTTAAATTTGGAGGGAGTCAAAAGTTATACACAGATTTTTAACTATGCAGGGGGGTTGGTGCCCAAACCCCAGGGTTGTTGAAGGGTCAAAGTTACAAAGTGGTAACAAAGGGTTAAGTTACAAAGTGACTTAAATAAAAATTTTCCACCCAAAATTGTTCAGTATGATTGCAAATATATAACAACATATGTTTATTTTTAAAACAAACACTACTTGGATGTTTGTTTTGGTCTCTGTACTTTTTTTTTTTTAATTTTTTTAATCTTTATTTTTGAGAGAGAGAGAGACAAAGTGCAAGCGGGGGAGGAACAGAGAGAGGAAGACACAGAATCTGAAGCAGGCTCCCGGCTCTGAGCTGTCAGCACAGAGCCTGGTGCAGGGCTCGAACCCACTAACCGTGAGATCATGACCTGAGCTGAAGTCGGACGCTTAACTGACTGAGCCACCCAGGCACCCCTGGTCTCTGTATTTAATGTTATGAGACGTGTTACCTCACATAGTCTCCCAGCTGCCTAGTGGAATAGTTAGTATTTGCCCCTTTTACAGATGACAAAACAGAGGGTCACAGTTGTTCAGTGAAGCCTCGTATCCAGGAAGTCAGAGCCAAGATGTGAACTCCAGACTTGATGCTCTCTCTACTGTATCATGTTGGGATCAAGACTAGAGAAGGGGACTGTCTGTAATACTACTTCTCGAAGACTTTCTTTTCTGTTGTCGTTAGAAATTTCTAAAGGAAGGAAGTGTTGGCACCAACAGCTCATGCGGAGGGTGAGGATCAGGGAGATGGCAGTTCATCAGATGCTTTGCTCTCTTCTCCAGGATGACATAGAAGCATATCGGACCCAGAACCGCTTCCTAAACTCCGAGATCCACCAAGTCACAAAGATCTGGAGAAGGGTGGCTGAGAAGGAGAGGGCCCTCCTGATGAAGGTAAGAGGCAGAGTCCGTCTACATGCCCAGTCACCCTTCAGCCCCTTACCTTCTCAGCCCTGTATCGCTCTGTCCTTATCACCTGCCTGCCCTGCCTCTGGACTGTGCCATTTACAAACTGCCTTTCTGCCTCAGGCATCTGTGCTCTGATTGCTGCGTCTGATCACAGAAGTACAGAGGAAGGGACAGGCGGCCATTGTCATACCTCCCCTCCGGGTTAGAGTAACTGCCAGAATATTCAAAGGGCTGCCCCACTTCATTTTTCTCTTTTCCCCTTGTGGGAGCTAGAGCTTGAAGACTAGACATTCAAACACAACTGCATAGGTGAGGAAATTAGAAAGTGGCCATGCACACCCAGGGAAGGACTCAGAAAAGAGATGACCTCTCTTGGCCCAGAGACAGCCTATAACAGCCAAAAAACAAAAACAATTTTTTCTTAAATTGGGAGAATCTGATTCCACTACTACCACATTATTAGATTCAGATGTCTAGTTTTCAACATAATAATCACAAGGCGTACAAAGATATATAAAAGTATGGCCCATTCAAAGGAAAAACATAAATTAGTAGAAACTGCCCCTGACAAAGACCTGATGCTAGATAATACGAGACAAAGATTTTAAAACAGTTGTCTTAAAGATGTTCAGAGAACTAAGGGAAGATGTAGAGAGTCAAGAAAGCAATGTGTGAAGAAAACAGAAATATCAATAAAGAGATAGAACACGTACAAAGAAATCAAGAAGAAATTCTGGAATTGAAAAGAACAATACCCAAATGAAAAATCCACCAGAGGGATTCAGAGGTAGATTCAAGCAGGCAGAAGGAATCAGTGGACTTGAAAATAGGATAGTGAAAATTATTAAGTCTGAGAAACAGAAAGAAAAAAAGATGGAAGAAAAGTGGACAGAGCCTAAGTGATGTGTGAGACACCGTTAAGCAGACCAACATACCCATTATAGTAGGGGAGTCCCAGAAGGAGAAGAGAGAGAGAGAGGGGGGCAGAGAGAATATGTGAATAAAGGCTGAAAATTTCCCAAATTTGATGAAAGACATGAATAAAAATGTCCAAGAAGCTCAACAAACATCAAGTAAAATAAATTCAAAGAGATCTACACTGAGACACATCACTATCAATCTTTTGAATGCCAAATACAAAGCGACTGCTTGCAAGCAGAAAGAGAAGTAACTCATCACATACAAGGAATCCTCAAGAAGATTATGAGCAGATTTCTCATCAGAAACCTTGGAGGCCAAAATGCTAAAAACAAAGACAAACAAAAAGCAAAGCAAAAGAATTTGTATCTGGCAAAGCCTTCTTCCAAAAATGAGGGAGAAATTCAGAGAAACAAAAGTTGAGAAACTTCATTCCCACTAGATCTGCCCACAAGAAGTGCTTGCACAGTCCTGCGGGGTGCAATGGAGGTACACTAGGCAGTAACTCAGAGGTGTTTGAAGGTATACAAATCTCAGTAGAGGTAAATACATGGGCAATTATAAAACCTAGTATTATGGTAAAAATGGTTTATAATTCCACTTTTGTTTTCTATATGATTTAAGAGACTAATACATTTTTTAATGATTAATCTAAAAGCTAGTATTATTACAACTTTGGTTTATAATTCCACATTTTGTTTTCCACCTAATTTTGCATTTAAAAGAATCATTACGTTATGTTTTGGGGCTCACGATGTATAAAGATGTAATTTTGTGACATCAACAACCAAAAGGGTAGGGATGGAACTATAAAGGAACAGAGTTTCTGCATGTTATTGAAGTTAAGCTGATATAAATTCAAATTAGAATGTTATAACTTTAGAATTTTAAATTAATCCCCATGGTAACCACAAAGAAAGAAGCTATAGAATATACACAAAAGGAAACAGAACAGGAATTTAAACATTTCACCACAAAAAAACACAATGCAGGAAACAAGGGACAAAAATGGTATAAGTCAGCAAATAAATAGCAAAAGGACAGACATCCCTTATCAATAATTACTTTAAATGTAAATGGGTTAAACTCTCCAATTAAAAGAGTTTGACAAAATGGATAAAAAAAAAAAGATCCAACTATATACTGTGTACAGGAGACTCGCTTTATATTCAGAGACACAAATAGATTGAAAATGAAAGGTTGGAAAAAGATATTCCATGAAATAATAACCAACAGAGAGCAGGGTGGCTTTGCTAATATCAGACTGGAGTGACTTTAAAGTTTTTAAAGTTACGAGAGACCAAGAAAGACATTATATGTTAATAAAAGGTTCAAGACAGTGAGAAGATACAGCAATTATAAACATTTATATACCTGATAACAGACCAGCAAACTATAGGAACCAAAAATGACAGAACTGAAGGAAGAAATAGATAATTCTACAATAATAGTTGTAAACTTTAGTACCCCACTCTCAGTAATGGGTAAAATAACCAGACAGATGATAAGTAAGGAACTCGTGGCCTTGAACAACACAATACACCAACTAGATCTAACAGGTATAACACAGAATACTCTACCCAGCGACAACAGCACACGCATTCTCCTCATTTTCCAGGACAAACCATATGTTAGGCCACAAATTATATCTCAGTAGATTTAAAGAGACAGGTATCTTCTCCAACTGGAATGGGATGAAGCTAGAAACCAAAAACCAAAGTCAAACTGGAAAATTCACAAACTTGTAGAAATTAAGCAACATACTTTGAAACAATGAATCAAAGAAGAAATTACAAGGAAAATTCGAAAATACTTAAAGGCAAATGAAAAAGAAGACATGTCAAAACTTATGGGGCACAGCAAAAGCCATGCTGAGGAAGAAATTTTTTTTTATGTTTATTTTTGAGAGCAAGAGAGACAGAGCATGAGCAGGGAGGGGCAGAGAGAGAGTGAGACAGAATCCAAAGCAGACTCCAGGCTCTGAGCTGAGGAGGGAATTTATAGCTATAAACACTTTCTTTAAAAAACAAGAAAGATCTCAAATCAACAGCCTAACTTTACAACTTGAGGAACTAGAAGAACTAAACCCAAGCTGGCTGATAGGAGAAAATAATAAAGATTAGAGCAGAAATAAATGAAATAGATAACAGAAAAGTAATAGAGAAAATCGATGAAACCAAAAGTGATTTTTTTGAAAAAATGAACAAAATTAACCTTGAGCTAAGTGAACTAAGGAAAAAAAGAAAATTCAAAATCAGAAATGAAAGTGGGAACATTACTACTGATTTTACAGAAATAAAAAGGATTATAAGAGTACTATGAACAGAGGCGCCTGGGTGGCTCGGTTGGTTAAGCATGTGACTTCAGCTCAAGTCATGATTTCACAGCTCATGGGTTTGAGCCCCGCGCTAGGCTCTGTGCTGACAGCTCAGAGCTTGGAGCCTGCTTCGGATTCTGTGTCTTCCTCTCAGCTCCTCCCCCACTCATGCTCTCATGCTCGCTCTCTCTCTCTCTCTCTCAAAAATAAACATTAAAAAAATTTTTAATAAAAAAATAAAAATAAATTTTTAAAAAAGTACTGTGAACAGTTGTATACCAACAAATTGAATCACCAAATGAAATGGACAAATCCCTGGAAACATAAAGCCTACCAAGACTAAATCATGAAGAAATAGAAAACCTGAATGGCCTGTATAACTAGTAAGGAGACTGAGTTAGCAATCAGAAATCTCTCAACAAAGAAAAGCCCTGGACCTGATGGCTTTACTGATGGATTCTAATGAACATTTAAAGAACTAACAAAAGGCCTTCTAAGACTTTTCAAAGAGGGTGTGTGCAGACTAGTGAGGATCAAACACAATCAAGATGCAGTTGGGCACACAGGATTCTTTGGCATCCAAAGGAGGAAAGAAAGTCAGGGAGGACTTCCTGGTGGAGGTGCCTTCTTGAGCTGAGTCCTAAAAGTGAGTTGGTGTTATCCAAGCAAACAGTGGAGAAAGGCCTTCCAAGAAAACAGACAGCATGGTCAAGACCTATGGATTGAGAGGAAGGGGAAAGGTGAGAAAGGAGACGTGAGGCTGAAGGGGGGAAATGTTGGGACGTTCTCTGAGGAAACTGGCAGTTGTAGAAGGGTTTTGAGTGGGGCAGTCGGGGGGGGGGGGGGGGGGGGTGGTGGTGCTCAATCAGACTTATGTTTTGAGAAAGCCAGGGGCTCATTGGGCTTACAGAGGTGGGCTGGAGAGCAGGAGATTTGGGGGTCTCAGAAGTGCCTGAGAAGACTACTGGGAGGGGACTCGGGAAGCAGCCTTGCAGGCAGAGGGACATGGAAGTGGGAGCCGCCTGTGTTGGGGAGGAGGGCAGGCTCACCCGATGGCCTGGAGTTGGTGCTTAGCCAACGTTTGGAGACGGTAATCTGGGCAGAGGTGCAGCGGATGGGCACCCTTGGCCAGGAAGCTCCCACTCTGCCACCCCGGGATGAAACAGGAGCCAGGCTGGCCCCGAGGTCACAGCAATACTATGAGGCCGATTTTTCCTGTCCAGCTTACAGAGAAGGAAAATGGGCCTAGGAAAGTGACGAGACTTGTTCAGAACACTCAGTTTGTGTAAATAGAAATACAAAAGTTCAAGACGGGCAGGGAGGGGCAGGGAGCGTGCAGCAAGGCCACCGATGGGAGAGAATGATGCGTAGCAGGAATGGAAGGAGCCAGTGTTGTGGCAGCAGGAGGCCCAAGGGCAGTGTCCGGAGCCTCATGGCCATCTCCTGGGTGCTGCTCAGTAATACCACCTGCAGAGAACTGCTCTAGGCTAGGTGCCCTGAGAGGGACTTTACACACATCAGCTCATGTAATCCTCACCAGAATCCATATGGTTTCCATTGGTTAAATGAACAAGCTAGGGCACAGAGCGGTTAAGTAACTTGCCATAGCTCACCCAGCCAGCAGTGGCCGAACCAGGATGGGACTTCAGGCTATGCAAGAACCTGCACTGCCCCTCCCCACCTTTCCTCTCTTTCTTCTGAATCCAGCCCAGCCCTGGGCCTGGCTCTCTTGCCTGAAGCCTTCACTGCCTTGCTATAAACCCTTGGGTTTGGGGCCCATCTCCTTTCCCTTATACGATGGGCTGGGGGGTGGGGAGGGGATGCAAGATGAGATGGGAGAAGAGCTTTGCTGCCTGTAGCTGCTCAGGCCTCTAGGGTGGCCCAAGCCCAACCAGGTGGCCTGACAGCCCCACCCCTCCCTCCACAGTGTGCCTACCTCCAAGCCAAGAACTGCCAGGTAGAGAGCAAGTACCTGGCGGGGCTGCGGAGGCTGCAGGAGACCATGGGGAGCGAGGCCAATGACTGCTCAGAGCTGCTGAGGCAGCTCATCCAGGAGGCACTGCAGTGGGAGGCCAGGGAGGCCTCGGCAGAAGGCGTGGAGCTGAGCCCTATCAGGTGAGCCCCGCAGGCAGCAAGGGCAGGTCTTGGTCTGCCTGATCTGGGGAGCCCCAGCTGCTCTGCTGCTGGTTCCTGCTGACCGTGTACGAGCACTGTGCATCCCTTACTTTCTCGTATCTTCAGGTATTGAGCATGTGGTTGCGATGAGCCCCCTCTTACGGTTGAGGTGGCGTCACTTACACTTACACCTCAGCTGTAAGACGAGGTGGTGTAGGCTCAGAGGAGGCAGCCCCTTCCCCAAGGCCATGCAGCATATTAGTGCAGCTGACCTGGGTCTGCCTCTGAAGCTCTGTTTTCTCCACTTCTCCGGGCTCCCAGAGATACTTTGGTCAGAGAGGGGAGGAGGAGAGACAAGCCAGCTGCCTTCCCCAAGCAAAGCCCTTGCTGAGCCCAGTGGACATGGGCAGTTAAATATAACAAAAGGGGCTGTGGCTGGGGTCCAAAGACCCCCGAGGCTGGGAGGCTCGGTGGAAAGAGCCCAGGCTTTGGAGCCACGCCTGGCAGTGTCACCATGTGACCTTGGACAAGTCACTTTACCTTTCTGGGCCACATAGACAGCCTCCATCAGATGTGGGCTAAGATTGCTGCTTTGCAGGATCAGTAGGACCAAATGAGACCGCACATGCAGAGCACACAGGGCAAATAAATGTTAGATCAATGAAAAGCTATGTGGAATGGATCCCCAGCTCACCCGTCTTGCTTGTCAGTGATGCTGTCTGTTCCCCATCCATCCTTGGGCTTACTGTCTTGTGGGAGTGGGATTCTATATCATCAGTGCAGGACTCCTTGAGCCTAAGGCCTCATGGGGTAAGAAGAGGGTTCTTTATATCTGCACAGAATCCACTTACTATGCACTTACTATGTCCCAGACACTGTCTAGGCCCCCAGCATTTTACAACAGGGGATGTCAATGTCAGTGGGTCTCCATGGGGCAGAGCAGGAATTATACCCCTTGTACAGATGAGCAAACTGAAGTTCGGAGAACTGAAGTCACCTGCCCAAAGCTGCATGGCTAACCCGCAGTGAAGCCCCGGCAAGAACCTTGCCTGGGGTCCAGCCCCTGCCCACTGCCCCTTCTCCGGGGAAGGACTCTGCAAGGTGTTGCTAATGTGCATTTTTGCTGGCAGCGAGTATGACGAGTATGGCTTCCTGACGGTGCCCAACTACGAGATGGAAGACCTGAAGCTGCTGGCCAAGATCCAGGCACTAGAGGTGCACTCCCACCACCTGCTGGCCCATGAGGCTGTGGAGCGGCCGCTACGGGAGCGTTGGGCTGCCCTGGGTGATCTCACGCCCTCGGTCGAGCTCAAGCAGCTGCTGCGGGCAGGTGTGCCCCGAGAGCACCGGCCGCGTGTCTGGAGGTGGCTGGTCCACCTCCGCGTCCAGCACCTGTGGAGCCCCGGCCGCTACCAGGAGCTGCTGAGCCGGGGTCAGGCTCACGAACACCCTGCAGCCCGCCAAATTGAGCTGGACCTGAACCGCACCTTCCCCAACAACAAGCACTTCACCTGCCCCGCCTCCAGCTACCCCGACAAGCTACGCCGGGTGCTGCTGGCCTTCTCCTGGCAAAACCCCACAATCGGCTACTGCCAGGGCCTCAACAGGTGAGCATCATGGCTCTAGTGAGGGCACAGCCCTTGTTCTCTAGAGCACCTCTCTGTCTCTTTGGAGTCTCCCAGGAACATGGAGAGGGGAGCCCAGGAGGCTTGATTCCCACTGTACAGATGAGGACAATATGGACATGTTCAAGATGGGGACAAGGACAGGTTCAAGACCACGGTAGCTCCTCATGCCGTGCTCTCTGCTTTGATCCGTGCTCAGGGTGGGGCCACCCATGTAGAAAGCATCGCGAATGGTCTCCTGGGATTTTGTAGTGTGCACAGCTCAGCTCACACATTGCAGAACTGTGGGTCAAGGCTCATTTGCCTCAGACAAAATCCATTCAGACCCAAGAGAAAGAGAATTTGTAAATGTTACAGGGAAGCTCCTAACAACCAGGAAAAGAAAAGAGAGGACGAGACCCCATGGTCATTAGAAACCGCGGCATCTCCTGTCTCTAGCAGGGCCACAGCACCACACAACCCCAGGGGTGCCAATCGCGCCATAGTCCATGGGGCCAGGTCCCGACACTGTGCAGCACCACACCCTACTCTTCTGCAGCCTTTACGGGGCCTCACAGTCTCTGGACTCTCTTGCTTTCAGCAGACCAGCCTTGGTCCATCATTCTTTGGACATTTAAGGCCCATTGAGGCTGTTCAGAACGGAGAACTCAGTCCCTGAGTCTGGAGCTTTGTCAGCATGTCATCCCACTTGGCAATACCCTCTTGCAATACCCTCTTGCCGCAGGCCTAAATTCCCAAAGGAAAGAATGCAGCCGGGCCAGCCTGGAGTCGGTTCTGCTTCTGGTGCAACAGCAGGAGATAAGGGATTGGGGGTGGAGGGGGGGGTGCTGACTGGTAGGGCTGCCCCCTTCAGGACTGTGGAGGACTCTCATGGATGCCCTTAGCTATCCCGATAGAGGTTATGTAATCTCAGATATTTCCCAAAGCAAGTTTTGACTCTATTTATTTTTAAAGTTTTTTTTTTAAGGTTTATTTTTGAGAGACAGAGAGAGAGTGTGAGTGGGGGAGGGGCACAGAGAGGGGGACAGAGGATTCGAAGTGGGCTTTGCACTGACAGCAGAGAGTCCAATGTGGGGCTGGCACTCACAAACTGTGAGATCACGACCTGAGCCAAAGTTAAAAACTCAATGGACGGAGCCACACAGGCACCCCTTTGACTCAATTTAATTTAAACACGCATACACTGGAGCAAAATTTACATAAGACCTTCTGGTGTTTTTTTCAAAAGAGGTGGTGTGTGACATTTCTTTAACACAGAATAAACAGTCACAGCGTCCCTACTCAAATTTGAATGGTTCCTAAGGGTAGATATTTTTGATACTTGATTTCCAGCCTAAATTGGGTGAAATTGAGCATATATATATGTTCAGTTACTGGGAATTCAGAGTTAAACCACATCACAGCTAATCTGCACTGAAGGGGTGGGGGAAATCCTATAGTGGGAAGGATCTTGAGATAAACCTAGAAGGAAAGAAACTGTTCCCTGTGTGGATGGAGGCAGCACAAAGGCTGTGGAGGGGTATGTAGGAATAACAGATGGAGAAGGAGGTGACACCCAAGAATATTTCTTTAACTCTTTCTTTGAATACTTTTTTTTCTCACTGATAGTTAGTGTTTAGGCACACATCCATATTATTGCTTAAAATCGAAAGTTATTTGTAATGGGAAGAGCCCCTTTCATACGTGGAGAGTGCGGCCCTTAAACCCCACCTTGCAAGCCCCTTTCACTTGTCTGACTGCCACCATCTAGTGGCAACTGATAGAACTGCATGCATGGTGTCAAAAGAGGACACACCCTCTTCTATGCAACAAATCAACCTGTTTAGAGGGTGACAGGTATCATGGTAATAATACACTGCAGATTTAGGGCAAAAACGTTAAAGCTATTTCCCTTTAGGACATAAATGGAGTGCTTTAAAAGTAGCTGTTTCCCACATCACCATGCTACTTCCTTTGCAGACCCACTTGAGCCTGAAGGCCTTAAGTCGGAGTCTGGTTGTAGCCCTGAGCACTTGGTGGGCCCTAATTGGCACCAACATCCTCTCATTACTGACCTTTTAATGTGTAGAGAGATCTAAGCTGGTGCCAGCAGCCAGCTCCTGGACTGAGCATGTCCTGAGGCTCCAGTGGAATGGGGTAGGGTGGAGAGAACACCAACCAGGCTGGGACTTTGGGAGCCACTCTACCACCAGCTGACTATGTGACCCTGAGCAAGTCATTTCTCCTTTCCAGGACTTGGGTCTTCCCATCTCTGCAATAAGTGTATCTAGACCCAGGATGACCAGTAGGAAGCATCTGTCTAGAGCCTTCTCTGGTGAGAGTTTCTGAGGCAGCCTCCAGAGTCAGTGGGAAAGAGAACAATGATGAATTAGTTATGTCTGCCCTGGGCATAGACAAAGGGAATGTTGTCATGATTGATTAGTTATGTCTGCTCTGGGCATAGACTAAAGAGTGGTGGCCAGTGTTTCACACGTTTGCTATCCCTGAACTAAATGACCTCAGAAGGCACCCCTTCCCCAGCTCTGAGAGGGCAGAGCTTCCTATTTCCAAAAAGACCTTTGACTCTTCTCTTCATCCACTCAGCTTAGACTCAGGAGGATTTGTACAGATGGTTTAGCCAGAGTGAAAAGAAATTCCTTCCCAATCTATTGGGGAGAGAAAAGGGGTTTCTTTTTTCTTTTGAGAATTGACCTTATTTCTCTAAACAATATGAACCTCAGAAGAGGTTGGAGGTCATGAATCCAATCTTGTAAGAGCTCAGAGAAGGATAAATAGGTAGACAATGAAATGTGTTTTTTAAGCCCATCAAGTGTGTGAGGTTTCATGATGCTGTAAGGTGGCATCTCCCTAAGGGTGTTCAGTGGGTGCACTGTACAAAAGGGGCTCCACAGCCCCAATGGACAGTCCTGGGCTAGGGTCACATGGGGTTTTGTCACTGCAGAATTTCTAAGAGGCTTTTACTAAGATGTTGTATATCATTGGCCTCTAAAAAGGGGCTAGAGTATGCAGCATTTCCCAAACATCTTTGAATTTGGGACCTTGTGTTCACCTAGCATCTTGAGAGACCATTGCATCTTGGAAAATGTATTCCTGGATTGGCCCTGGGTGAGCCCTGCCAGGAAGGATGGGAGAGGTAGAGAAAACAATACTTCTTCCAGGCTGACATCCCTGCTCAGCACTGTGGACTTTTTCCTTTCTTCCCATGATCTCATTAGAGCTTCATGGTAACTTTCGGGGGAGGGGAAGCAAATGAGAGAAAGAATTTTGTGTAATGAGCACCTGCTATATGCCAGACGGTTAGCAAGACACTGTAATTCTGTCTTCTTGCTCAAAATGCCTCACAGCCCTAGGAGGTAGAAATTGTTAATCCCACTTTACAGATGATCAAAGTAAGGCTCAGAGAGGTTAGTTAGCACGCTTGCCAAGGTCTCAAAGCCTGTGGATATTAAGATAAGGATAACTAACATTCATAAAGTGCTCCACTACATGTCAGGTGCTATGCTGGGCATTCATCTCTTGTTAACATCATTCACCCTCGTAATAGTCCTGTGATTATTATGAAGAGGTTGAGGCTCAAAGAGGTTTAGGAACTTGCTTCCAGCAAGGAAGCAAGCAGCAGGTGCAGAATCACACCTAGGCAACAGGACTCCAGAGCCCCTCCCTAGAGACTCAGATCTCCCCATTGCTCTGGAAATCCCTGTGTAGTCCCCAAAAGCAAGTTCTTCTCACCCCAGGTGCCAGAACACTAGACTGGTTAGGGTTAGACACGACAACCCCCTGGGATCCGGGAAGCGACCTCTGCCACCCTCTGCCTGGCTGTGACTTCTGCACATCACCCTAGGCCTCCTTTCTTCCCCTTCCAGGCTAGCGGCCATTGCTCTGCTGGTCCTGGAGGAAGAGGAGTGTGCCTTCTGGTGCCTGGTGGCCATTGTGGAGACCATCATGCCAGCTGACTACTACAGCAAGACACTCACATCATCCCAGGTGAGCAGAGCAGGGGCAGACGGGACTTGGAGGCCACACAGGTTGGTGCTCCTTGAGTGGTTCCTTCAAGCCAGTGAATCAGAAAAATCAGGAACCTCTCAGACCTCCATTTCTCCCTCTGTACAGGGGCCAGTAAGCCCTCCCTGGGACTCCTGGGAGGCTCTGGTGAGGTGATGGCCTTTAGAGTTGTTGGGGCCCTGCCCACGGGACAGACTTGTTATTCCAGTGGTGACACGATGTCACTAGGAATGGTTAGTCTGTCTTTTCCTTTCTTTCTTTCTTTCTTTCTTTCTTTCTTTCTT